AAGGCAATCAGGAAATTGATACAAATGACAATGTAATTAGCATGGAATGCATGAATCATATTGACCAAATGTAGAACGTGAAGTTCGGGGTATTACATTTTAACTCTCTAAACTCTCTAAATTAAAATGTTAATTTAAAAAGACTCTTAGAGAATAATTTTAAATGTTAACTCTTGAAAATGGAGAGTATCTCATATTTAAAGAGTTTCTTGAATATGCGCTTAATGTTGGATTTTAATTTGTTGTGTGGGCCTATAAATATAACTAATGGGGAAATTAGGCCCACTATCCTTTAAAATGAGGAAATTTGAATAATACCCTATTAACTAATTAAACATTTAATTATGTAATTAATATGCCCTAAACTTTCAAAATCACATAGTCCAAATTAGATTCACTATTCCAGGGAGCTCCCCAAGAGAAACTGTTCTCCTTACCCACAAATCCGCCGACTCTGCTCCGCTTTTTCCATTTCCACCATTTTTTTATCCACACTTCCACCATCACCATCTCTCTTTGCTATGAATTAGAAAATCCCCAGATCGTACTCTACTGAACCACAAGAAATTATGAACCTGGCTATATTACCCCAAAAATTCGATCTGCATCTACACCAACAGGTAGATGAATTTACTGACAATTTACTTGGTTTTTTCCCATCTTTTTAGCAATTTTTCTTCTATTTTTCTTCAGTTTTACTGAGTTTCTTCCATCTGATATTTATTTGGGCAATACTGCTACTCGTACAATGTGACTTGACAATATTGGGTTACAATGTGACGTGGCAACATTTAAAGACAATAACACTACTCGTACAATGTGGCTTGACAATGTTGGGTTACAATGTTATGTGGCAACATTTAAAAATTGGAAAAAAATTGATAAACAAAGAGAACAATAATGGCTACAGGAAGTACAAAACAGGCGGCAAAATTAAATGATTGGATACTGGGATACAGTGATGCACACCCAGTTCATAAAGAGAGAGAAACGAAAAACACCCAAAATTTCTCATCCACTTCGTACGACACCATCGGAGACTCGCCTTCCCGATGACGTCGTAACCACCCGGCGTGAGCCCACCATTTACAGATGTGTGCCAACATTTTTCCCAACAATAAAGCCAATTTACCATTCAAAGGTAGCAAGTGCGGTTGAGTGTCGAGACCACACTGTAGAAATTTGGGTTGAGCTCAGGCGTGAACCACAACATTTTACAGATGAACCCAACATTTTTTGGAAATTACCATTTCACCAACCCAGCAGTTTCCCAAAGTTGGAGAAAATTGTCGCCGTGGCCGCCTTGTATGAACTCCTAAGGGCGGACCTCGAACCCCCTCGCTACAGTTGAAGGTGGGAATTTATTTATTTATTTATTTATTTTTTTGATGTATGATCTAACTATTTTCTTTCATAAATTTCAAAAAATCAATGCCTGCATTTCTTATATTTATGAAGTTGAGTGGTTAATTTTATGACATATGTGAAGTTCATTGAAGACTAGATAAATTTGATTCAATGTAAAATTGTGGAGAGGTAATGGTTTTCTGAACGAGACAACCATTATTGAAGCAGTGGAAGATGATTCAAGAGTGGAAGACTAGATATGCTTACGATGTTGGTTTCCCAGTCAAGAAAAGGAATTAGAAAAAAGATACATTGATATGTAATCTTGAAGGATGATGCAGCACGACAAAGCGGTTCTTTGAAGCCACATCCAACAATTCGGATGGATTGTAAAGCCTAGATCTCAGCGTCTTTTGATTATCTATATTTAGTTGTTGCACTTACAGCATGTATGTTAATGGAATTCTGTTCACACCATGCTAATGGAATTTTATTGGCATACCTTGTTGGTGAAATTGATTAATGACTTTTTTTTTTTCCTATTTTAAGATCTACCGGTTCAAATAAACAATCATTTAGCATTTTGGCAGTTTGATGTTTGGCAAGAGTTAACACATGGTTGGCAAAAAAATAAACATCAATGTAAATTGGAACATTTTAGCCTTCATTGCCAACAGGTCACTTGAGTGTCTTTGCTGGGCATTTGGTTAAATGAAATTGTCTAGGCTTGTATAGAACTACCCATGCAAATTGGCGAAAGACAAACATCAAATGAAATTCAAAGAAACTGATTTAGCATGCATTGTTAAGCACGTGAATAACATCAACACATAGTTTAGCATTAAGTAATGATAATGCTGTTCAAATGAGAAAAACTCCAAACTGACATTCATTTTTCCTTGTACATAAATACCAAATTTGAGATAGCTAAGCAAAAATCCACCGCTACTCAAGCCACCCCTTGCCTTTGGTGCTCCATTCGGTGCTTGATTTTCCAGTACGGATCGTTACGTTCATAGAAATGTGGGTTTCTTGTTCATGGTTAAGCCGAACTTGCGACTAAAATATGCGGGGCATATCGTTAACTGATTCGATTAGAACCAATTGTGAAGCCCTTTGAAGAATTTACCTTTGTTGGCTGTAGCCCTTTCTACCTCAAAGCACTTTTGAAAAACTTGCTTACATGTTGGGCATCGGATTTTTATCGAGCATTCGGCAAAGAAGTGGATCTTACTCCTGCAGCTGTGACATACTCCAGAATTCTTTCCTAGCATTCTAACATGGGATTCAGACACCAAAAACAAAAGTTAAACGATAAATGTGAAGTATGACCAATCATTCGGAACACTTGCTCAACGACAATGGCTTCACCAAATACAACTTTTATGCAATATACCCTGTTTCTTATAATCCGTAAATGCACTATACATTCTTCTCAAATTATAATTGTTGAAGGATAGTGTATTCCCAAATCAAACCAAAAAGGGCTTAACATAAACCAAACATTGAAAATTCATAAATTCTCATAATTAAAACCTTATTTTAAACTACGAAGGGTAATGTCCACAGTAAAAACATTTCAACAATGTGAAACCCTACTGTTCAAATCGATGTTCTATAAGGGTTAATTTACACCAAAGTGTCGAAAATCGTAATTTCTCAACGTAAAGATGTATCAAACAACATGCATCTTAAAGTATAACGAACAATGCTTACTGTCAAGCTAATCTTTTGAAATTTGGTGGAATTGATATTGGAGATCTGAAGATAGTCAGCCGACGAGTTCGCGGTGGCTGGAGGCAGGAGACGGCGATGAATTTGTCGATACTCAACGGTGTATGTTACCAGATGGCCTGAGGTGTCGAGATGGTTGGAGGTGACGAGTGCACTGGGGTCGTGGATTCCCGTGATTTGGAATAGTAAGAGACGTCGCCAGAATTGGGGAGAAGTTGGAGAGAGGATGGAGGGTTTTTGCCTTTTGCTTTTGGTACCAATAGTGGACTGACGCCGATTTGTAATTCCACATTTTGAATTGTTTCTGTAGTCTCTTTGTCAATTTTTTTCCAATTTTTAAATGTTGGACGTCACATTGTAACCCAACATTGTCAAGTCACGTTGTACGAGTAGCCGTATTGATTGTTATTTGGGATAGGGAATCAAGAGCTTTACATATGAGTATTTGTCACTTTTTTGAGTTTGTGTCACTTTTTCTTCTGAATATTGTCAGTTTTTGAGTGTTTACAACTTTTTTGTTCTGTCATTGTTTTGAGTATGTGTAACTTTTTTTAATTTACGCCACTTTTTAAATTCCCTCACTTTTTTTTTTAAATTTCTGACTTTTTTTTTTTGGAATTTTTGTCCTCTTTTTGGTAATTGATACTATTTTTTTCTTTTTGGAATTTTTGTCACTTTTTTTAGTGTTTGTCACCTTTTTCCCAATCATCTTTTTGAAATTTTCATCACTTTCGTTATTAGTGACAAACAATACTTTTTAATTAAAGTGACATTGAATGTAATTTTTTAATAAAAAATATTACTGAACTTTTAAAAGTGACATTACCAATTTTAAAAAGTGACACAATTTTTATAAAAAAAGGGCGATATTGTCACTTTTTAACTTTATACAGTATTTTTTCCTTCGAATTTTTTTTCAACAAATCCATAATTTTAAGAATATTTTTGTAAGTTACTCGTAATTCATTGTGTATTAAAGGTTACGTTAAGGTCAAACCCTTTGAAAGTGATTTATTAAAGAACTTAAGTTATTGGGCTTTGTGAATCTAATATGATATTAGCCTAAATATGTGTAGAAACCAAATTCCGTTGGGTTATATTTCATGTTTGGCCGAAATATATATGAAAACATCTTATAGGGTTATGATCCCTAATTCATTCTATTATTTTCATTCTTTGATATTAGGAGGCGAATTTCAACCCTAAATTTAGAATTTTAGATTGTTTGGAAATTATTTTGGAGTTGATAAAGGTACGGAGAACTGTAGCACTTACACTACAAAAAATAATTGATTTCCCGACAAAAAGATATTATTGCAAAAATTGAGATTTTGTTGCAAAAGTAATTTAGCGACAAGAAGATGTTTGTTGCGGGCATTGTCATATTATATGAGTCACAGAATATATTCTGCAACAACTTTCACTCATTCATCGCATTAACAAACTCACAACATTATTTGTTTGACACAGAAAGCACGAAATAGCAACACGATATTTGTCACCGTAGTGTCGTCGCAACTCATATTTATTGCTAAAAATTAAAAGGGCGACAAGTCAGTTTGTCGTAAAAATTATACCAATAAAATATTTGTGCGAATAATATTTATTGCGAATATTATTTTAAAGGTATAACTTTTGTTACCAATTCTATTTTGCAACAAATCATGCTCATAGTGATATATATTTAATAACAAGTCATATTTGTAGCGAAATATGATTTACAATGCATTTGATATGTGCATAATATATTTTGAGATATTCAACATTTATGTCACAATTTATCATATAACAAGTGATTTTTGTAATTAAATTTATTTCGCAACATAGAGAGTTTGTTCCATGATCATTTTGTGAGAAATTATGATTTCTGCCATATGCTTCCCCCTCTCGAGTTTGGTCAGCTTCAGATGATTTAGGAGCACATAGGTCTTCTAACATATCATCATATCATTACCATCTTCTGCTTTGTCCAATTTAGATGTATTTCTTTCAACAAACTCTGTATCATTCTCAAGTTCCACCCCAGGAAAAATTCATCTCTCATGACTTGCGGAGATTCCAGGGTGATATAAATGAGATTCTACCATAGAGACTAAGAATGCATTTTGATAATTTTGACATGGATAACGAACCTCATCCAGACATTGTTTTGCTGCTTCCTAAATTAACACCATCTAAATAGTCATCACTTAATCTGTTGTGAAGTTGCATCCAACTCCTATCCATCATGTATATCACTGTATTCACATGGATCATATAAAAAGAATATGTAGTTAGTAATTTT